GCTATTGTAAGATAATCACATGCCACCAGGCTCCAGGAGCAGACCCCAGGCGTAATAGAAAGCTGGGAGGGCCCCCTGCATCGTGTGTGGTGAGGGAAGGTGGGCTTCCCAGCTAATGCACAGGGACTACTGGTTTTCCATGTAGAGAACACTGAGTCTGGCCTCCACCTCAACTGTTAACAAAATAATGTGTTCCAATGGATTAGAGACCCCAGTGTGAAAGGCAATACTTTTATAGCATTTTTAGAAGACAGTTAGGAGACCCTCTTTGTAACGATAGGAGAGAAAGTTGGTACTACCCAGTAAAATTGGAAAATGTGCGTACCCTGCGCCCTCATTGTCTTCCTTCCAGGTTTATATCCTAGAAACTCGTGCACAGGCGGTAAACTGCTTATTGCAGCATTGCTTATAATAGTGAAAAATTGGAAATAGCCAAGCATTCATCAGCAGGGGAAAAGATTAATAAAATGTGGCATATGCCTCTAATGGAGTAATGCAGTTAAATGAGTAAATTAGAACTCTGTGAATTAACATGGACAGCTCTCAAAAACAATGCTGAGCTGAAAAAGCAAATTGCAGAATGATACAGTGTGAGACTCTTTCTGGCTATTTTGTAAACCTTGCAGAGCAATTCCTGATAGTGGTGGTCTCTGGGGAGGGAGGGGGACAGGCTGGAGTGGGGGGCAAAGGTGCTGTCACTTTTACCCGCAATGCTAGGTTTCTCTTACAAAAAGAAATCCCATCTGAAGCCAAGATGGTGTGGAAAATTTATATCAGGCTCAGTGCCTACCTCCCAGGTTGACAGGAATTCCAGGGGATTCAAGAACCAAGGGTCTTACCTGCTGCTACAGACAGACCAGCCAACGTCCGCCCCTTTGCAGAGGGGCCATTGTTGTTGTTAGTTGCTATTATATATGGTGACCTTACGTATAACACAATGAAATGTTGCTGGGTCCTGTTCCATCTTCCTGGTTATTGGTGTGTTTGAGTCCATTGTTGAGGCTACTGTGTCAATCCACCTCCTTGAGGGTTTCCCTTATTTTCATTGGCCCTCCTTACCAAACTGATGTCCTTTTCTAGCAATTGGTCCTTCCTGGTGAC